TTTGGCCCGAGCATGACGGCATCCTCGCCCACCATTCCAATGGAAATTCTTGGCTGCTTAGCACGCGCGCGTGCGCGGACAATGATCAAACAACCGAGCGTCTATTTGCAGCATTGGGGCTAGCCGAGCAAAGATACTCCTGCGGCATCTGGCCGAAAGGAAGGTGCCACTTGCGCGGCAGGCAAGCGCAAGTTGTGTAATGCGCGGGGACACCTTTTATGCTGGGTGCTTTTCGCCGTTTTGACACGGACATACGTATTTATTTTTGTTGAACACCGTGCTAATCTGAGGTGGGGGGACGAGAAACCAAACGCAAAAAGCAGTTGTGAAGAAATTAATTTTCAATCTAGATTTACAAAAACACAAGTTGGAAGTGTGGTTGCTGTGGAGAGTGCACATTGTTGAGGTAATTGCGAGGCTGAATTGTGCTGCCCTTTCGACTTTTGTGACGTCACTGGGGTGTGACCGCTTCACAACTTTGCAGGGCGGCGTGTCCGAGTGAGAATCGGGGGAAGCGGTACTTACCCCAACAAACTTGAGCTGTCTGCCATTGCTGTGCAGTCTTCGGTTTCACAGTAAGGCGTCCAAAAATAAAAAATAAAGTTTCCCCCCCCCCTGCTCAAATGAGCATGTTTCAGTCATCCCCATCCGCAGAGTCAGTGGTGGCTTCTTTCACTGTATAGGACAACCACTGTTGATGACCCTCTTCATAATAAGTGCTTGCTTTGTAGACCCTGGGTGAGGCGATATGCTTGGTAAACCCCTTGACCTGGGTTGAAACGAATACCATTTCTGATTGTGTGAAACATTTGAACCACGGCACACCACACCTGCTCAATATAAAACGAAACTATGCAACCTCAAAATGCGTTCATGCCCACAGTGAATATTATGAACTACTGTGGACCTTCATGCAAACAATTGCATCTGTGCCATGTCATATGCACAATGCAATATAGGATAGTTTATTGTTAAATCTACTCCTTAGAGCCATTATAGCACCTTGCTCTCAAGCTAGTGGTTCAGTTTTGAGAGCTAAAACTATTTTTTTGTCGGAGGCATTAACGTCATTGGCAGCGTTCACGTGAATGGACATTGACTAAAGTCTTGGTGTCTTCATATTCAACTATATACAGTATTGTGAGCAGTATTCAAATCAAGTGGCGGCCTTGGGCTTGTGGTGGAAAAGTCCAGCTTTTTACAACGGTGATTTTTCCCATTAACAGCTATCGTTGATTGAACAAGAAGTGATTGTCATGTTATCATCCTCGAGAGGTGAAGGACCGAGTTGACCCCAGGCTGTGATTTGAACCCGCAGCCTTTCCGATTGTGAATTGAGCGCCGTTATCCCGCAGTGCCACTCAGCCGGTATTGTTACGATAATATTCGAGCCAAATGACGGCCGCATTTTGTCCGGGTAAGTCGATGCCTCCAGCAGCTGAATCTGTGAAGCCGGTGACATTCATGGCACCGTCTCTGGGCTTGTAGCCCTCGCGCACTCCTCCTACTCAAGGGGGTCCTTCGAGGCTTTGGTCTCCTCCGGGAGACGGCTGTGCAAGCGTGTGGCAACTTGCCCGGGGGGGGGGGGGGGGGGGATGGCGCTCGACCTACGGTTTTACCCCCGCTGACCGGGCGCCGTCCTGAGCCCAATCTCCTTTCATTTTTATTGTTGGGCACCAGACCAGTGGGGAGAGGTTTTCCTCGCACCACTGTGTAAACTTTGCGCGAGTGAAATGCGTGGAATGCAAAGGCTGCGTGGAACTGTCTCAACGTGGTGTGCACGCGCCTGTGTGAAGTTCCTGCTTTGTGAAATGCACTGCATTTTTTTGTTGACACGTGGACCCTGGGCACGCACGATAAACCTGGCAGCCAGGGCTCCAGATGCAGGGTGTCGTAACACCGTTCCATGACCCCCTCACCAAGATTATGGTAATCCACACCCAGGATCTGCTGCCTGAAACCAGCAACAATGCAACACACCTGGTTCACTTGATAATAGTAATAATTAACAAGAAAAACTATCTATTCTATTGGTAATATTCTTGCAGCTATTCATTTCCCGTGGAGTGAATGATCACATTTGAGTTTGATTCAAGAATCTCTTTTTTGACACCGTGGTGAATATGGCAGTTTCTAGTGACAGCAGTGGTCACGTGAAGAACATCCTGTGTGTGTGTGCTGTGTGTAACAACCCTTTGTCAATCCACTGCTGGATGAAGTTCTCCTCACTTAGTGTTGGTCAAGAGCAGCTGCTAGCCAGCCTTTGAATACAGCTTGAATATAAGTGGGGCATGCTCGGAATTTCATGGGAGGATTGGGTAAGCATCTTGGCAGTTTAAAACAGAACCGTGGTGGTAAAAAAAAACACTTTATAGACGTAGTTAGAAGGACGAGGTTGTGATTGGCGGGGCACGTTTTCCGTCTGGAGGAGAAGGGCCTGTTACTGAGAGGAGCAAATGGCTTGGCATCCAATGGTTGGCAACCGAAGCCGAATACCTCGAGCCAGATGCTGCCGTTCTTTAACGACAGCCTTGCGGAGGACAGGTGCCGACCGCAGCTTTTCCGGGGGCCTGGCAAAAGAGAGAACGGTGATCGTGGAGGTGGGCGGTTGATAACCTCTGGACCTTGATCTCGAATGAAGTAATGTTTCCGTTCCTAGGTGTAGTGGATTGTGGTGGACGTGTTGTCGCTGATGACTGTCACATCTGGCCCCTAGCCCCCCCCCCTTGTGGTTAAGAGCAGTTTAAAATAAAACATTTTTACTATAAATATTTTAATAAAATTTTTACGATGACTATCACCATTAAATGTTTGTATTAGTGTCTTATTGTTTTAATGTTATTGTACAGTGTAAAATAAACGAATTAATATTTAATCCCAGATCTCCCGTTCCAAAGAAATCTGTTATTATGCGCAAGTAATAATCAATAATTTAGTATTTGTTTTATATGGAGGTGGAATTTGTGGTACAGTGGTTCGTACATTATGCTATAAACCTCCTGATATGAATTGCATTCTTGGCCATGGCTAACATCAGTGGTACGTGGTATCTCAACCATTTTGTTCCCCGCTGCCACCACCAACCCGCCAGTAGTCAGGGTGGTGAAGAAGGTCAAACAAATCCCTGCGACCCTGAAGGTTTAGGAAGGTGCCTTCATCCCAGCAGTGCTTTGACAAAGGGCTTTACACACTCACACAGCTTATGTGATGCACTGAAGAAGGGACATTGCCCAAAACGTCACTTCTTATATACATAGATTTCTTTTCCTTTTTAAGGTTGCATTTCGGACGAGGGTGAGTTTAAAACGTAAATGGATGAAAGGGGTCCACGTGACCCTTGCTTCCACTAGACACCTCTGCATTCGCCGCTGTCTTAAAAAAAAGGTTTTTGAATTAAATCACAACCCCAAATTGGGATTGTGATTCATATCACGAGGAGGGAGTGAATCGTCCACAGGCCTTATTATCAACCGAAATGGATCCTGTTTTGTGTTCGCATTCACAAAGAGCACTTTGATTGACGCTGACAAACTCTCATCCAAGTGATGGTCCTGCTTCAGATGTCTCATAAGGTTATCATTCATCATCATTTTGATCCCCACCTTTGCTGTGTCAGGCCACTTCCCCTTTCTGTGTTTGTGAAAAGGCGTGTTGTGTTGCATCTTGTGGTTGCGTTGCGGTGTGGTGTTTTATGCAAGCCTGATCCTGGATAAAAAAGAAAAGAGATTCTCTTTCCCCTCTTGCCAACGCCCTTTTGCCAACCTGACAGGGAGGGGGGGGGGGGTCTGCCTTTGATCAATAATTGCTGCTTAGTGCCGCTGCGTGTTTAGAACATTATGTCCGCTGCCCTTGTGTGCTGATGCACCAGTGGCCTTGTGAGCGAGAGGCTGCATCAATAACAAAGCAACCAGAAAATCAGCTTCTGTCCTGAGAGTATTGGTGCTTTGGGGGAGGATTTTGGTAACGTCGTGACCGTATCGGAAAAGTGACTAGCTAGTTGGAAATAAAGTGTTGCAAGAAAGCTTTTTGCATATAAAATCTGGAAAATGAGATTCCGATGCAGACAGACCAACATGCACAGGATGGAGAAGAGGTGGTTACTGAGAACGTCATTAGAGTGTAGCACCCAGGGGAAGACCACAATCCAGACAATGGGATGATGTAAGGGCAGCCCCTTGGTGGTCTGGTATTGACCGTGAAACAGCTGAGGGGTTTGGCAGAAGGAAGGGTAAGTCATCACGTCAATTGGCATCGATGGCATTGGCCGTGATGACATTTTGACCTTGTTTAAACATCTCTCGTTATGCCATACCTGTCAGAAGACGAAGAGATGCATTTGGTAGTTTTTTGTTCTCTGACATGGTAGAGGATTTGCAGCCTGGGGTCTGAACGTTTAATCAAACAATAGTCGGGTCAAAGTAGCGCTCCTCTGACGATCATGTTCATGTGCTCATCTCTATTGCTTGACCTCATGTAGTGGTGGGTTCTACATTTCCCTAAATTAGTCAAGTTGCTTTGTAGATGTTCATTGTTGACCTATTCATCTGTTGTTGACTGAGGAATGGTGCAATAAGATTGGCAATAATACATTAATTTTGCAATGTTAAAATAACATTATTCTAAGAGATAATGATGCTTGGAAAAAAAACATTCCGGGCGAGTGAATGTTAGCTGCAATGGATTCCAGGAAAACATTTTGTAGTCAATCGAAAGTAATATATTCAAATGGGTGGTGCTTTTGGGCCGGATAGATGAGGTCAATTTACTGACACAGGCATTTAAGTGGTACTTGGAGGTTGGGGAATTGCAGAAAAAAACAAAATCCCCGAGGTGGGAAACTATAGAAGGCAGATATTGAAAGTTGGATCTTTTAAATGCCTAAAGAAGTGATTGAGCTATGTGTTGGAATTGTATGCATTCGTTGGGATGACCTCTTGATGTTTAAAGGGCGTTTTAGTGATCCCCGTGGTCATTGTTGTTGTTTAATTACTTGCCCTTAGGCCTGCATTGATGAAAACTTCGACATGGTCAAATTTCTGGTGGAACGCGACGCCAACATCAATCAGGCGGACAACGAGGGCTGGACTCCTCTGCACGCTGCTGCCTCCTGCGGCTACATCGACATTGCCAAGTGAGTAGTGCCACGGTCACCTCCCGTTTATAAATACATCGCATCGGAGTAGCCGATCTGTAAGACGGACTCTCCGTTTCATCTTTGAAAAGTAAATTAACTTTTAAATCCCACCAGTCTGTGATTTTTCTGGACCACTATTTTGTTTCAACAGAATTAGTTTCAGCAGACAAACCACCGTTGGCTTCCCATAAAGCGATAGTAATCCCATTGACCTCAGGGCGGATAACAGTTTCGAGTCAACCCCTAAAATTCAACAGTTTTCGTTCTATGGGAAGGCCGCGGTCCACCATGTTTCATCACGGCTCTCGGGGCCAGCAACACACAACCACCACCACCACCCCCTTGCTAATTCGAGGACAGATACACTGTGACTTTTTTTACTTGTTTTGCCCCACTGTTGCCATGACTGAAATGTCATTCTAAGATGACGGTGGCTTTTGTCAAGTGAGAGGGTGGCACTTTGTCAACCTACACCCCTAACTCCCACGCCTTCCTCTCCACTAACGCTCCCGACCACTCTGGGCTTAGCGTGGACCCCCCCCCCCCCCTGCTTAATCGGGGTTCAAAGCTGGAGGGCCGCGTGGGTGCTTTATTCTTGGATTGGCGTCTTGCCACTTTCCGGATGATCTAAATAAGGAGCGGTGTGCATGTGTGTGATTGAATTGGCTCCTCGCCCCTCGCCCCTCTCCCAGGTGCAGTTTGGCACTCTTTAAACACTAACTCCCTGCTCTGATGGACGTCGCTAATGAGGTTACGGTTGGTTAATCCGGCAGTTTTGCACTATGCCGGATTCAAACAGCTGGGTTGATTTCAAACCCGCGACAAAGTATTTGTTCCCCGACTTCTCTTTGCCACTGCCTTGGGGCGCACACTCCTAATAGTGTACGGAAATAATCGTGTCTGCTTTCATAGGTGCAGAGTTTCCCCTGTTAAGTGGGGGGGGGGGGGGGGGGGGCTATGCAGATAGGTGAATCTGTCTATAACCCTAATCCTGGATGTTTAACTCCGGACATGTGTACAATGCTTTGGGGGCTCCTAAAAGCATTTTGCATGTTCTTGCTCGTGTTGCACATGCAGTGCGATCGGATGGTTTAAATGGTTGCACGCGTTGCAAGGAAGCTTTGCAGTAGCTCATGGGATTTGAGTGATTTCAAACGTTCTAAAGCTTAACATAACAACCCACCGCCATAGGGAAATGAGTAATAGGAATTTCAATTGATGAGGGATAGTTTAAGGACTTTTTGATTTTGGTGTAACTGCCCACTGAACGTTCTTGGTATTATTAATAATATCAATATTTCTCTCGGGGCCCAGTAGGTTACTCTTGGGGCCTAGTAGGATGCAGACAGGGTTTTTTCGGGGCTGCGTGTCGTGCCCCGCTACTTACGTTTCCCGTTACCCATCATGCCTCACTCCTTCTCTGCACCTCAACAGGGAGCTATAGCCATGGCGTAACATATAAGTGGAAGAAAAGAAGTTCCAGTTGAATGGGAATATTGCTGTTATTAATAATACCAAGAACGTCCAGTGGGTGGCAACACCGATAATTAAAATGCAGTTTTTATCATGCACAAAGCCTAATTTTATTCAAAATCCAATAGGTTATGAATGTTTTATCATTACAAAATGAATTCAACTTTTATTCTTCGGGTCTTTCGGTAAAGTCACGTAGATAGGTAAAAAAAAATATAGCAAAAAAAATATATAACAAAAACACTGGGACGTTTCGATCGCAACACAAGCGGTTGTCATCTCTCCTGATGACGGCCGCTCTCCTGATGGTGACCGCTTGTGTTGCGATCGAAACGTTGTAGTTTTTTGTTATATTTTTTTGAACCTATCTACGTGACTTTACCGAAAAACCCAAAGAATATGAATTCCTGCAGTCACGAAAGCTTTAAGTAAAGATTTGAATACAACTTTGTTGGAAATTATCAGCCGCCTGTATGAATGTATATATTTTGAACGTCTTTAGCACCGTTCGTAGCCAACCATGCTAATCAGGGGTGCGGGGAAGGACAACAAATCTAAACACAAAAAAAATGGATCGACTGACTCCATTATGGAAACATGGAATTTCCATTGCTGGGCCTCAGGCCTGCCAACGGAGATGATTCTCGCCAGAGAATCCTGCGTGTCTCAAAAAGAGCCTTTTTTTTACACGTTTTTATTTCACGAGCCGGTTATTTGCAAGAAACGTTCCCTGGCACTTACGAATATATCTCTATGGTTACACGACAATGTTGTCAGCTTTGCTTTGTAAGAGCTTTATCGGGCCTGGACTGCATGCATGCACAGTTCACGATTGTGCTTGTATGGTAGCAGCCTGTTCACAATACAAAAAGGGCCTTTGTATTTATAAACAATCCGTAGACTCTTTAGATTTCAGTTTTAACATCCCAAGCAAACTGAGATCCCATTTTACATAACATAATATCTTGAAGTCGATTTCAACTAATATTTATACGTATATCATTTTATTAAATGTTTTACTACATCTGTCTAGGAGATAGCAGTATAGAAAGTAGGTTGCACACCTATCTGTACATTTTAACTACTCTTTTCCATTAAATGTCTGAAGGGACACCTGCACGTTCCGACTATTTAATATGGAATGAGCCAAATAGTCCACTAAACCTGTACCAGAATACAACCTAAACACTGTACATGCATGTAGCCCTTTGTCAGTCCATTTCCGGATGAAGGCATTCCCCACGCTGTGCAGATTGTGAAGCTTATTTGACCATGAATTTGGTGCAGGTTGGTACAGGTGGGGAGCATAGACCTGGGAGCATAGTAGTGCATTGCAACAATATATTCAGCTCCACTGCCCTCTGCTTCCTCAAGCCATATCGTCTCTCAGCTCTGCCCAGACTTATATCCTAGCGACCCAGAACATCTCGCCCTCCAGGTTTAGTCCCGTACATCTTCAGCCCTTGCCCACCTAAGCCTTCATTCGTGAAACCACCTGGTGGCTATGAATCTCGTCGCGGTGGGCAGTGAGTAACCTTGTTCGCCGGACTCTTTTGCCAGGTACCTGATCGCGCATGGCGCCAATGTGGCAGCGGTCAACAGCGAGAGCGAGCTGCCCCTGGACATCACCGAGGACGAGGCCCTGGAGGACATGCTGCAGGAGGAGCTCAGCAAACATGGTGTGATGTGCTGCGCTGTCATCTCCCCTCGCTCGCTCAGTGAAACAACTCGCTGACAGAATAAATCAATCAATCAGACTTATTCAAATGACCCGTCCCTGACTGGACATCTGTGAAAAAGAGTTTTTAGCTCCTCGGATTCCTCCAGTATGAGCAAATATTCTGATTCTGATTCAAATGAAAAAAGACAGTTACTTCCCAGATGTGGGATGCAGATAGAATAGGTGCAAAACCAAATTTATTTATGCGAAGGTCCTTTTCATTCAGTCATTTTTGGCTGGGCTGAGACGATGCACTCACCCCACTCGAGATTCTGATTTAATCATGTGCGGCTGCCTGAATTCCATCGCAGAATATCAGCCTTTTCAGCTCAATGCTCTGACATTCAGGGCCATTTTCAGGGTTCATGTTTAATGCTTGATGCACGGAGAGCCAATTTCAAAAGCAGTGCAGCTGTAGATGGTCAAATGGCTTAAACAGAACCATGAAGGTGTTGAATAACTCTTAAGCAAGAGCCGTTATCAAAACACAAATTTGCTTTGCGTACATTTACTACCGCTACTAATTCGGAAACACAATTTCTTTAAATTATTTCTAAATATTTAATCAGCCCAAATGTCAGCAGGGTAACCAGCGTTTTATTATATGAATTCAACCTTATGGTGTGTTGATAACGCACCCAGCTCAAACATAGAAAGTCGCAAACCCCAGGTGGGGGGGTTGACTCGATTAATAATTTCTCTGGGGTCAATAAAATAAGTATCACATTGAGAAGTCATGTTTGCTTGTCCTACCCAGCCATAGTAATGTAGAATTACCACCACCGGCGCAGGGCAGCCGGCATAGTTGAGTGTCTCCCATATGAAGAGCGAGATACTTTGATTTTTGACGCAGAATATTCTGTAGATGCCGTGTCCAGGAGGAGGCTGCTAAGCTCTGGAGTCGAGGCTAAATTTGGAAAATTACGTGCGAGCGTTAAGCTACTGTACCAGATCGGTCCTTCCTGAATGCTTGCTGTAGCTTGGTGGCATCTGTTGAGCTCGGTGGGATATTCCTCATTGAACAAAACTGCAATGATGCACGCTGCTAAACTGGCTTTTACTGTGTGTGTGTGCGCGTGGGTGTGAGTGTTGTTGTGTTGTTAAGAACACTCATATTCCAAATAAGTAACGTGTGTACATTATTGAGTATGTGCCTCCACTCTTCTGTTGGTCATGATGCCAAAAATAAAGTATCTCCTTGCTCACAGGAGCAATGCGATTGCACTCATCTCTGTTGGTGGCCTTTAGGTAGTGCTGGAAAGTTAAGTATTGAGTAATAAAATCACTTGAAAATTCCCCAAGTACTGGATTAAGCTGTCACTTGGAAATTGCTGAGCAATTCGTTGTCAAGAGAATTACTACTTTAAAAAAGTGCGCTCCCAGCACTCAGTAGGCTAATGTTTTAGACGGTGGCTGATGAGCATTTTACAGTCAGCTCTACACATTTGTGACTCGTCTAAGGCAGTTGTCAATGAAGGTGGTCTCTGAAGATGTTTTCGAGCTGTGCTAGTAATGCCACCAGCCTGCCTCGGACAGGGGGATTTGACAGTGTGGTGGCCTGGTGCAGCTTACATCCGGGCCGGTATGTCCAGGTCGTAAATCATCGGCTCCAGAAGAACATGTGTCCTCTTTGAGCAGCACTACTGTCTGCTGCGTCTCCCTGGTGTCTCCTGGGAACACCCCCCCCCCCCCATGCCTTTTGGTTTCACGATGGAAACGTTGCCAAAAAAAGGGGGGGTCGGGACGAGAATCACGTGTTATCTTCATGGCATCCAGGTGATGCGATGCATTTTCCTACATCGGTCATCTGTGATGGGGATGCAGTCATTGAGATGATGATGGTAAATGCGTGCTTAGCATGTTGACGCCGCCGTATATTTTTGGCCTTGAACGTTACATCGGTAGGCCATGTGGCAAGAGGGCTCGACTCCCAGTCAGGAGATAGCAGGTTCAAATCCCAGTTGGGAGACGTCCAGCCTATTCCGACTATCCCGACTTCTCGGCCAAAAAAATTGTGTTGGCCCCTTCGGAAAGTCGGTTTGTGGTCATCGTAAAGAAGACTGTGTTTACTCCTGCCGTAGTAGTATAGAATTTCCACTGCAGATGAGCACCACGCCCCAATGCAAGCTCGAGCAGTGAGTCTCTTTGTGGTTAATATTGTGAATTGGCACAAACTCCGAGCTCAACAGTGTGTCAATCACAGCAGTCCAACCGCATTGGAAATCATCGGGCTCGAAGGTTTCCTTCTTGATGTTTTGTGCACAACTTTCCTCCCACCCACCATCTGTTGACCTGAGCTATTGTCCGTCCTGTGTTGGTTTTTCCCTGCACACACCTTGATCTTGTTGATTCTTCTCAGTTCTGAATGGTCCCACTGTTCAGGAAGCATTGTGTATTGGGGTCATTTTAAAACAATCGTGAACGTATCTCTGCTGCGCTAAAGGTGTGTGAGCATTGAGAACCATGGAGCTTCGTAGGCAGTGCACGTTGGCCTGGCTTGCTTACTTTGTAACCTTACTGTTTGCCCTTAAGATGCTAATTTTAGCTGTCCTATTTTAGACATTTTTTGTTTCTCCCCCACTCCACTTTGTGGGAGGGCGTGAACTATTGTGATTGCACAAATGTGTGCCCACGTATGTAACGTAATGTATGCAGGGAATGCCTGCGTCGTCCAGAGTTGTGTGACTGTGTTTAACGTTACACCTATGGGGAAATGCATCGATCGATATATAAGCTAGGTTCTCTGGGTCGACACAACTTTAAATAAGTGCCTGATAACAGTGTTTCCAATATCAGCAGTGGGGAGACATGAGGGTGGGAGTGTGTCGTGTTTATCACGTAATTCCTTCCTTACATGTGCTGTCGTTCTTTTGTTCTTATTAGTAACTCGCACACATGCCTGTATTGCGATGAAGAAGGGACATTGCCCGAAACGTCACCGATTATATATTTTATTTTCAGGCCACAGTGTTTATTGACGAATGTGAGCTTTTGTTGCTTGTGCAAAGAATCTGTCCAGCTAAACGGATGGCTCTGTCGTTGTGTCGCTATGTATAGTTTTATATTCATGCTTAGTCTCGAGCGTATTCTTGTGATGTGCTTGAGTTTTGCACGCAATGCATGCTGTGTCCTCAACTGCAATGTAACGCGTGCGTGTGCATTTCACATTGCTGCTATTATAATGTCGGCAAATTAAAGTTCGGGGTGCAGTGTCCACTCCCATCTATGCAGGTTATAACCCTTTAACAGTATTGGCAGTATTCTTTGGTTCTTTTGGTAAAGTTATAGACTGCCAGTACGCTCACTCAGTTTAACCATTGCTACAGTCTGCATTATAGATTACCAATACGCTCACCAGCTTAAAAACCAGACTACAGTCTACATTTTAGACTGCCAGTACGCTCACCGAGGTTAAGAACCAGGCTACAGTCTACATTATAGACTGCCAGTACACTCACCAAGGTTAAGAACCAGGCTACAGTCTACATTATAGACTGCCAGTACACTCACCAAACTTAATAACCAGGCAACAGTCCACATTCGAGATTGCCAGTACACTGACTCCGATTAAGAACCAGGCTCGTTTCCATCAGTGTTTTTTAAATTATTTTTATTAACTTCATTTTTAGTTTTCTATCTACGTGACTTTACCGAAAGAACCAAAGAAGCCAAAAGGCAGTCACGAAAGTTTTAAGTCAAAATGTAGTATTGTCAGTGTCTAATAAGAAATTGGACGGGAACTACACCTAGGCAGCATAATAGTTGCACTGCTCGTGTTGTTATAATAACCAGGTCAAAGGGAAAGTGACGGGGGACTGGTTGGCATTGTTTAACCAAACTCGTTTTGGTTCCTGGAATGAGATAAGAGCACTGGGGAAAATTTAAATTGTGTTCGTGTAAATTTCTGGTACTCGATTGGGGGTATGGGTGGTGGCGGCGGCGGCTTTAAAGTGACCCCAACGAACCCACGGTGTTTGCCGCTACGTTATTTTCAGTTCATTTTAATAGGCATGTGACAATTCACCCACTCCCTCTCCTGGGGTACAGTCAATTGACACGATTAGGGATAACGGTTCGGTTCAAGAGCTGATTCTTATTTGTTTCTTAGACACGGTCTCGTTTTGTCTTGTCTAGTTTTGTTATTAATTACGTCAGCCCGATGACATAATTTGCACGAATGGTGAATTATCGATCTGTGCACAACATGATTTTATGCGGCCTATCAATTTCACACGATTTAGTTTCAACGGACCGTTACTTTTTGTTACAATGCAATCTGCTATGTACAGTGTCCGCGCTAAATGCCGTTGTCCGACACAAGTGGCTTCTTCCCTTTTTGCCCCATCGGCCCAGGCCAAATGTGCTTTCACAGGAGCCCTTTCGTGTGCGGGTGGGCGGGCAGCTGGGGAAAATGGCCATAAATAGACCGTGCGTTTACCCTATGACAACCCACTGCCATGCGGCGAGGTTGGGGCAGCTGCCAGGCAGCCCAGACATGGAGTGGAAAATGTTGCTCATAAAATACCAAAGGAACGTTGACTCTAAACAATTAAATACGGCTGTGTGTGCATTAATTTTGTGGCCGGGGGGGTGGGGGGGCTTCCTTTAATGGTAATTCTTATTTTTTTCTGAATTCTCACTCTTGGACATGGTTGCCTGTGAATTCTGCTGCATTGGCCAAAAGTGCAATTGTCTTAAGTTTTTTGTATTATATATATGTATGTTAACAGGCCTAGTTGTGCATGCAACTGTGTGTGTGTGTAAGAGAGAGGAGTGGTGGTGCAGCGGTTGGCTTGTTGTGCTATGATTCTGCTAACCTGGGTTCCATTCTCGGATATACAACTAGCCAGCTGAAGGTATATCTGAACTTGTTGTTGTGGCCCTCGCAGATGTCAACTTGGCCACGAGTTATTACCTGATGCAGTTTGTAAATAGCACTGGAGAGACAAAGGTGGTCAG